GTTGAAAGGAAGTTTCTTCAGGGTCTGGCCTTCTACTAATATATATGGAAAAGCTTGGGCACAGCTCCCTGGCTTTTGCTAGAGATCCTGCATCTGGCTTATCATCTGGACTTGAATCAATGGCCTGCTGTGTTGTCTGCCAATCTTGGGATCGTTGCCTTCACAGCTTGTGAGTCAACAGCCTGGCATTTAACCTACTGATCATGGATTCATCAGCCTCCGAAATCAGCAGTCTGCTGTACTGCCTGACGATCTTGGGTTTGTGAGCCACTGCACTGCATGAGTCAGGAGGAGCCTCCACTTTCACATGTGACCCATGGACTTGGGACTTGCCAGGCTCTACAATTGCATTAGCCATTTCCTTGAGATAATTTTTTTTTCTCTCTCTCTTTAAGCTCCATTGTTTTTGCTTTTCTAGAGAACCCAGCCTCAGACACAGATAAAAGCTAGAGAATGAATAAAAAAGAACTGATACATCTGAATTATGATGTTGACAAAAAATATTAAACATATTACTGGACTGCCAGAAGAATGAACCAATGTCTTGGGAGAAATACAGCCAAAATGCTCCTTAGAAGCAAAGATAGAGAGACTTCATCTCATGTACTTTGGATACGCTATCAGTAGGAACCAGTCCCAGGAGAAGGACATCACCTTGGTAAAGTAGAGGGTTAGCAAAAAAGAGGAAGACCTTCAAAACTAGATAGAATGACAGTAGCTGCAACAATGGGCTCAAATATAGCAATGAATGTGAGGATGGTAAAGGAAGGCAACGTTTTGTTCTGGGTCTGTTCAGGGTCACCATGGGTCGGAACCAATCTGACAGCACCTAACAACATATGAATTTCTCTTGTTGATATCCAATATTCCACTGTGTACTACGTCTATTCCTTTATACTTGCGGAGGTTTGTTTTATGGCCTAGTGTGTCCTGGAGAATATTTCATGCACCATCAACAAAACACATTTTGCTATTATTGGATGTTCCTGGGCTTACCACACACATCTCACTACAATAAGCTTCAGATGTATCCTAGCTTAAAAACAGAGATACAGAAATGTAACCCATCTACAGTTCCATTTCCATTTCCATATTTTTTGTTATTATTATTATACACATTAAATCTTTTAATGTTACAAAGTCAAATACACTGTTATATCTCTTTACCATCTGCAATTATTTCCTTAGCCCTAAAGAAATGTCCACCCACCTTCTTTTTGCTGTTATTGGTAAATATATTAGAAATATATTTCTGTATGTTATTGGCCCTATAATACATTGCATAAATATTATTTTATACAAATTATTCTTATCAGTAAAGAGAAGAAAGAAAAATATATGGATTATTACTGTCTTTTTATAATTCCATAAACACCTTAACTGGTGCTTTGTTCTTTTGGTGTATATTCAAATTACTATTTGGAGTCATTTACTTTCAGTGTGGAGAACTTCCTTTACTACTGGTCTGTTAGCAAATAATTTTCTCATTTTTTGTTCCTCTGGGGGGTGGTTATTTTGCTGGATATAGGATTCTTAGTTGAAGATTTTTCTCTTTCAGGGTTTTATATTATATATAAACGAATGTTACCATTACCTTCTGGCCTCCATTGTTTCTACTGAGAAGTCAACTCTTAATCTTCTGGGGGTTCCCTTGTAGGTGACAAGTCTTGCTGCTTTCAATACTTCCTTCTTGTCTTTGACTTTCCAACTTCTGACTATACTTTTTGGTGATCTCGTTGCATTTGTTCTATTTGAAGTTCACCGAGCTCCCTAATTATTTAATTGAGTGTTTTTCAATAAATTCAGGAAGTTTTCAGCCATTATTTCTTCTAGTATTTTTTCTGCTTGTTCTCGCTCTCCTCTCCTTTTGCTATCTCATTACACATGTTGGTGTGCTAATGGCATCCTGCATTTCCAAGGTTCTGATCGTTTTTCATCCTTATGCCTTGCATAATCTCTAACAATTTATATTCATATTTGCTATTTCTGTCTTTTGCCAGTTCAAATCTGTTGAGAACCTCTCAGTTAATTTTTCATCTAGGTTATTTTTCTACCCAGCTCTAGAATTTCCTTTTTATTTTTAAATTATGTATCTGATACGACACTGACATCATACTTTCCTTTCCTTCTTTAGTCAAGCTTCCCTTCAGTTTTGCGAACGTGTTTATAATAGTTAATTTGAAGATTTTTTTTGTTGTTGTTAAATCTGACATCTGGTCACTCTTACAGCTATTTCAGTACCTGCTTTTCTTGTAGCTTTTGTGTCATATCTTTGTGTTCCTTGTCTCGTAATTTTTTTTTTTTTTGGTGGAAACAAAATATATTGTGGCACCTCTGGAAACTGGTCACCCCTATTCCTCTCAGGTCTTGTAATCAGTACTTGTTTAGTGACTATCTGGATTATTTGAGGTGAATATATTCCCCATTCCAGCCTGAAGCAGTATGCCTCAGGGGATCTAGCCTTGGGTACATCCTCAGTTGTATCGGGATGCCAGTGGTTCTGGCAGGTTTCTCTTTGTCCATCTCTTTCCATGACAATACCTCCTGTTAAGATCCACAAATTGTTGGCAATTTCACTTTTGAAGAATTTACAGTGTATTGTTAACAGTTAATGTCATTATACGATCATTCAAAACTGACCTAAACACTTTGACTTCTGATGGAGATGTAAGTTAGTTTTAAGTGGTAAGGTATGTGTGAATGTGGACTGATAGTGTAAAATGATTCATTCATTAGGAATATTTTCTTATTATGATGACTTCTGTTCCCTATATTTGGTAACTTCAAGGATGCACAAATATTCAACTAATGAGTAAAAACTATGTAAAACAAATACTGCATAACACAAATGGAAAAAGCAATAAAGTGAACTATGCAAATAAATTTCTGCGATGTAACAAAGTAAGGGAAAAAATAAACTGGGGAAAAACTAGTCACAAATATAGCAAAGAGTTAATATCTTCTATATTAAAAAATTCTGGGAGCTCTGGTAGCATAGTGGCTAAGACATTTGCCTGCTAACCAGACGGCTGGCGGTTCAAACCCACCAGCCACTCCTCGGAAGGAAGGTTGGGCAATCCTACTTCCGTAGTGACACTGCCTCGGAAACCCAAGGAGGGGTCGCTATGAGTCGGGGCCGACTCGATGGCACATAACAACAACAACAACAACATATTAAAAAATTCAAATTGACAAGAAAAATCTAATGTCCCAATAGAAAAATGAGCTATGAACATTTTCAATTGATAGAAGCTACATAATCAATAAGACGTTAAAAACTCAACCTTATAAAGAAATACAGTTTAAAACAGCAATGTTGTCTTTCTTCTGTTTTGTTTCTGCACACTGTATTAGCAAGGCTATATTTTTAATTGTGTGGCCAACTGTTGGCAAAGTTACAGGGAACAGAACAGAATATACTGCTGGATGGAGTATAAATTGTTATATTCATTGCAGAAAGCAATTGTCAAAACCTACCAAGATGACTTTAAAAATTTTACATTTCTGATTGCATAACTGTACTTTAAAAAATACTATGTGGGTAAGGGAGCTCTGGTGGCAGAGTGCCTAACGCATGTGACTGTTAACCAGAAGGATGGTGGCTCAAACCCACCAGCCACTCCTCGGAAGGAAGGTTGAGCAATCTACTTCCCTAGTGATACCGCCTTGGATCCAAGAAGGGGTCACTATAAGTCAGATCTGACTCCATGGCAGTGGGTTTGGTTTTTGGTTTGGATGTGGTTAACTAGAAATCATTAAAAGTATGGATGAAAATAAGCATTACATAGTAATAAAGGTATAAGTAAATATATAACAAATAAAATATTCAAATAGATTATATTGTATCTATTCAAATAGAATATAATAGATAGGACTATATATTATACTGTTATTGTTATGTGCCCTTGAGTCAGACCTGAGTCATAGTGAAAACCCTTGGGTTTCCGAGGCGGTATCACTATGGAAGTAGATTCCCCAACCTTCCTTCTGAGGAACAGCTGGTGGGTTCGAACTGCCGGTCTTCTGGTTAGCAGTCAAATGCCTTAGGCACTATGCTACCAGAGCTCCCATGTATTTATACAGTAGCAGTGTAAATTACTTTGTGTCCTAGGTTTCCAATTATTGTTTGATTGTCATTTAATAATCCTTTAAAATAACATTTTTAATCACTATAAAATACATTTTTTAAAATATTTAAATATATTTTATAGTGATTAAAAATATTATTTTAAAGGATTATTAAATGACAAACAGTAATTGGAAATCTAGGACACAAAGTAATTTACACTGCTACATGTATGTTTTGTTAGCCGCCAGTGAGTTGGCCTTGACTCATGGTGATCCCGTGTGCATGCAGAGTAGAACTGCTCAGTAGGGTTTTCAATGGCTGTGACCTTTGGGAAGGAGATCACCAGTCCTGTCTTTTGAGGTGCCTCTGGTCGGGTTCAAACCACCAGTCTTCTGGCTAGTAGTTAAGCATTAACCATGTGCCCTACCTAGGAACACTATGGTACATGTATAAAGAGGAAAATTAATAAGATAATGATAATATTTGGAGGGTGAATAAGAAGTGATTTTTATTTCTTAATAGCTCCTTTATGTTTCAATAAAATTCTCTTCCAAGAGCAATCAGAACAAATAGGTAATTATAAAAATAAAGATTTAAAAAATACATATAAAAGTACTTATCATCAACTGTTAACATTTCTGAATATAGCCTATGCATATATCCAAAAACCAAAACCAAACTGCTGTCGAGTTGATTTGACTCACAGTGACCCCATTCTTTGGTTTCTGAGACAGTATCTCTATGGAAGTAGATTGCCCAATCTTCCTCCCGAGGAGCAGCTCGTGGGTTTGAACCTCCAGCCTTCTGGTTAGCAGGAAAATGCCTTAGGCATTGTGCCACTAGAGCTCCTTATGCATCTATACATAATATTATTTATAATTGGAAAAATAAAGATAAACATTTAGAGGATTAAAATTCATTAAAAACCTACTTTGTCATCCATTGAATTTTGAGATCTCGTAATGCTTCAGTAAACTCTTCTTTTAAATCTTTTTCTTTTTCTGAATCTTTTTCTTTTTCTTTGCTTCCATTCTTAGTCTTTGTTGGTGGAGGTATTAGGTAGTAATGAACAGGGATTATATCCTATAAATGTGGAAAGATATTCTTAGATAAATAGGCTTAATTTTTCATACTTTAAAATAATCTTCAATATATGAGTATCAAGTAGAATAAGGTACACTTGAGTTGTATCTTATTTTATTCCAAATTCTAAGGGCCACAATACATTAAAAAAATCAAATCTGTTATCAAAATAATTTTCTCCCAAACTTTCAAGTACTGATGCTTTTAAATATTTCCTTTTAAGCCAAGGAGATAAGAACAAGCTCTTCTCCGTTTGTCTATTTGGCGTTCTTAGTATTCCTTGATAAGCCTTGTCAGTTCTCATTATTCATGGTGGTTGTTGTTGTTGTTGTTGTTATGTGCCGTCGAGTCAGCCCCGACTCATAGCGACCCCTCCTTGGGTTTCCGAGGCAGTATCACTACGGAAGTAGGACTGCCCAACTTTCCTTCCGAGGAGTGGCTGGTGGGTTTGAACCACCAGCCTTCTGGTTAGCAGTCAAGTGCCTTAGGCACTATGCTACCAGAGCTCCTTTATTCATGGTAGCTATGTTTTATAAAGTCCCTGTGAACATTGAATTAATGAATATCAAACCATCCTAATGCGTCAAGCAACTCAAATTTTCCACTATTTACACAGACACATCTTTGATTGTGACAGCACTATAAGTATTGATTTAGGGATTGCAAATAAATTTTAGTGAGTAGGAAAATACGCAAATATGAAATCTGTGAATAATAAGGATTGACTTTATATTCAGAAAGGGTAAGAATTAGAGTGGAGAGTGTACACAGTTTATATCCAAGAAAGGGGGTAATAAGTTAATTTTTTTTTTAATTCATTTTTTTCCTCTGTCGTTGTTGTTATGTGCTGTCGAGTCAGACCTGACTCATAGCGACCCCTCCTTGCGTTTCTGAGGCAGTATCACTATGGAAGTAGATCGCCCATCTTCCTTCCGAGGAGTGGCTGATGGGTTTGAACCGCCAGCCTTCTGATTAGCAGTCAAGTGTCATAGGCACTATGCTACCAGAGTTCCCTCTTTTCTCTCTTGGTAAATTTAAAAAGGAATTTCTTTCTTATTCATTCAATGGGATTTACTGACCCCTTGTGATGTGCCAGGTAATGTTCTAACACAGGTGAAGAACAAAATAAACAAGATTTTTCCTCCCCATCATGGGACATATATGCTAGTGGGGGAAGGTAGGCAATAGTTATCTGAACCAAAAAACAAACCCACTGCTGTTAAGACAATGCTGACTCAGAGTAGAATTGCCCCTTAGGGTTTTCCAGGCTATAAGCAGCTCTGGTGGCTTAGTGCCTAAGGCATTTGCCTGCTAACCAGAAAGCTGGCAATTCAAACCCATCAGCCACTCCTCAGAAGGAAGGCTGGGCAATATATACTTCTGTAGCATACCACCTCGGAAACCCAAGGAGGGATCACCATGAGTCGGATTTGACTCAACTGCAGTGCGTTCGTAATCTTTACAAGCAGAATGCCATTCTTTCTCTTAGTGAGTCACTGGGTGGGTTCAAATCACAAACCCTTCAGTTAGTAGTACAGCGTTTTTAACCATGGCACCACCAGGGCTCCTTAAGAGGTAACTGGGTGGCCAATTTAAAGTGGTGATAGAAAGCCAGTCTGAGACAGTAATATGTTATCAGAGACCTAAATGAAAGAGGGAACCTCATCTGGTCTAACAATTAGTATTTGATGGTAGAAAATAGAGCAAATGAGAAAACCTGAACTTTGCATATGGCAAGCACAGTTGTATGTGTTGAACATAATGGGCAACAGTAATATTAAGTAGGGCTTGACAGAATATGGTAAGAAACATGGATTTTATTCTAAAAGCCTTCCAGAGGGGTTTTTATGCAAGGGAATGACAAGATTAAAGACTTCTGCTTTTTGTTTAATGATGCCGGATACCATATGGATTAAGATTTTGGTTGCTTTTTAATAATAACTCTTGATAATATTTGGAGATTGGATTGTAGAAGGCAAAAGGAGAGGTAGGGAAACAAGTTAGGAAGCAATCCCAGAAATCCCAAGACTACGTGGACCAAAGAACAGGCAGTAGAAATGGAGAAAGTAAGAGTTATTCTTTGAAGGTAGAACCAAAAGGGTTTTCTTTTTCTCATGGTTTTTAAAACTACAGAGATGAAAAAGATCAACTAGGGAGTATAAGGAGAAAAGACTAAGTCCAGGACTTGGTCTAAACCATTCTAATACCTAGAAATTCTGAGTGAGAAAGACAGAAAACAAAAAGAATCTAGGATTATGGAAGTCCTGAGGAAAAAGCAGCTTTAAGAGTCATGAAGCTACAACTGTGGCTAAGATGAGGAAAAATAACTAGAATCTGGCAGCACAGAGGTTGCTGGTTGCCTTGAAAAGAACAGTTTGAGTGTGAACAGTAAGGAGTAAAAGCCAATTAAGACTGAGCCTGAACAAGTATAGGTGATTCCTTAAGAAGTTTTGTTTTAAAGAGAACAGAGATATGGAGTGTAATTACACGTATTTTATTCTGTTTCCACAATTACTGGCATATATATTATTACTTATGAAAAATCATCCTGAACATGAAATCATGTGATCAGGTCATGAATTCAATACATACTAGATGTGTTTTTGGCACAATAACTAGATATCCTTAACTAAGTTGTTATTTATTAAGTTAATTCTCAAATTCTACCTTCAGGTTTGTATTAAAAATGCTGTTAACTTAAAATCTTATTCATTTGAATTAACAAAGTTTCTAAAACTGGAACAAATTATGTTACCAAAAAGACTTTTACTGCCTTAATCACAGTAATTCCAGAAAAAACTTAACACAGGTCAAATAACAAATAGGATCACAAGTCCCTTCCCCGCACCAAAGTAAGAAGTTTATGTGTAACTCATACATAAATATATCCATCGACATAATTTTCACAATCTGTACTTTGAGGTATAAAATAATTATAACAGTACTAATAGAAATATAATTAAAATATTAGGAACTATTGTTATAGTTCTAATAGTGTAAAACATAAAATAATTACTATTTCCATATAACTCCAAGCACATAAAGCCACTTTAATACACAATAACCACACAAGTACATTTCTAGCTTTCAGGTGCTACTCTCTCCCTCTGAGGTCAGGGAGAGAGAACACCTCTAACCAAAGACAAACAAAGGTCTTATGTAAAGTGTGAAACAGGGAAAGGGAAACACATTTTTTTGCTTGGGAAAGCTTTTCAGGCCTCCTATCACCCATTCTTCTCCTCCTTAAGGTTTATTCTTCTGGGTGAGAACTGCCTTGGGCAAAATCAAGTTACGGTGCCTGAAACTTCTGAGTTGAAAATCTACCACCAAGCTCTTACCGAAATAGACTGCTTTAGTGTCATCTGTATAAACCAGGCAACATATTTAAGAACTAAAGGTATACATGGTCCATACATTTACTCTCTATTAATATATTTCTATTCTTTCCTTAAGGAGCTCTGGTGTCATAATGCCTAAGGCATCTGACTGCTAACCAGAAGGCTGTCAGTTCAAACCCACCAGCCACCATTGCTCAGTGGAAGGAAGACTGGGCAATCTACTTCTGTAAAGATTTACCCTCTCGGAAACCCAAATGGGGTTGCTATGAGTTGGAATCAACTCGACGGCAGTGAGTTGGTTTGGTTTTATTCGTTCCTTGGAATCATGCTTCTTTGCGAACTTGTGTCTCAGAGTGTGAACAACACTGTCTGAAGGAAAAAATCTGGAAGTTTACATTCAATTTAAAATCAGTGTGTGCCTTCCTTAGTTTCCTGTGCCCTCTAGCTCTATCAGGGAGAAGGCAAAGCACTTTAGGAAGCCTACTCGTTATAAGAGAAAATTTCACCTTTGGAACTCAGAGTTAAGGCACGTGCTATTATTGCTTAGAGAAAAAACAGAACAGAATTTAAAATGAAAAGCCCATTAAAATTAATTTAGAATTAAAACTGAAATCTAAAGAAAAACTATACAAACGAGGAAGAAATTATATAGCAAATACGATCTCACCACTAAAACACAAAGAACACGTTTACAATGAACAAGCTTAGGACAAATCAAGTGTTGGCAATAAGCATTTTACATATTAAATGTATCAAATCAGTAATTATAAATGCTAATATCTTACAAAATATTTGAGGATATTTTTATATTAAAATTAAAAATGGATAGTTTAAATTCCTAAAGGCAGTTACTTTTCATTTGCTTCATCATGGTCTTTTGTCCTAAAGCATCTTCACAATTCACTTCTCAAGATCTTAACACAGTGTTAACTTAAAAGAAATTGTTTGTACCACTGAAACTAGAGAAATATTGACTATACTTTAAAGACAGTCAGTAAGAATCTTCAGAGCAAGATAAGTTCTCTATGATAGATACTTAACAGTAAAATATATATATGATTCCAGCTCTTGACAAAGCATTTTAACAACGTTCAATTTGAACAATAATATTACCTAAAAAAGCCACACCCACCCATCTAACCAATAACTATTCTTAGGGCAACATAACATATCACTGTTTACATTTTTGTTAAAACATTGCAGTATCCTTAGTTCAATTATTAAGAACTATAAGTGCAAAATTTTAATAGCTTGAAAAAAAGTAAAACATAATTTTAAGTATTAAAACCACATGCGAAAGCCACTTGTTATCCGGTAAAAATAATTATATTCTTTCATGTTGTTGTTGTTGTTATGTGCCATCGAGTCGGCCCCGACTCATAGCGACCCCTCCTTGGGTTTCCGAGGCAGTATCACTACGGAAGTAGGATTGCCCAACCTTCCTTCCGAGGAGCGGCTGGTGGGTTTGAACCGCCAGCCTTCTGGTTAGCAGTCAAGTGCTTTAGCCACTATGCTACCAGAGCTCCTATATTCTTTCATAGTGCTATGAAATAAAAAAAAAAAAACAGTGATAAGTATATTCACTGATATACATACAATACAGAGTTACTGAAACCTAGAGTCAATTATCCACACACACAAATACAATTTTATAAACACACA